TAAAACAATTATTTCCAAATTCACTGACTGTTGATGGTATATCAATTGATGCCAATGAAGAGCAGTTTCCAAAACAAATGTCTTCTAATTTACTTATTGTTGTTGGTAACGAAATTAATGTTAATGATGTACAATCATTAAAACAATTATTACCTATTTCATTTACCAATGATGGTATATTAATTACTCTTAATTTTGCACATCTACTAAAACAGTTATTTCCTATCTTGGTAATTGTTGTTGGTAAAGTAACTGATGTTAGTGCTGAACATTTGTAAAAACAATAATCTGGTATTGCATTGATTGATGTTGGTATATCAATATTCTTTAATGACAAACACTCTTCAAAACAATTACTTCCGATCGCGTTAATTGAATTAGGTATGTTAATTTTTTTTAAATTGTAACAACACTTAAAACATTCATTTTCTATTGATGTAATTGACGTTGGTATTTTAATATACACTAATGATGTACATGCACAAAAACACTCATAAGTTATTTTGTTTATTGTTGTTGGTATATTAATTGTTACTAATGATGAACATCCTTTAAAACATCCATCTCCTATTGTAGTAACTTTTGTTGGTATATTAACTGATTTTAATCTTGTACAATCTTTAAAGCAATAATCTCCTATCCACAAAATAGACATTGGTATTTCAATTTCAACAAGGTCATTAGTCCCTTTAAAACAGTCATCGTCAATTCCATTATATTTTTCTAATTCTGATAAGCTATGGTGTTTTCTATATTCACTTGTAAATATCTTACTCATTGTTTTTTATAGTTCTTTCTTCATGTTTAAATAATAATGAAAGATAAATAATAAGCTAATTTTTTTAATTATTTTATTTTTTATTGATTTGATATGATTCAAAAGTGGCATTCAGAGATACCACACACAACCCTAAAATAAATCCAAACTTCCAACCCCCTACTTTATTCTGGTTATAGTATTGCCAGTGATTAGAAAGTATTTACTCAATATTATAGTGTTTATTATTTATAAATATTGAATATCATTTATAATAAAAATGTACTTATTTATAAAGATGATAATATTAATTACTTGTTAGAATACAAGTGTATTTGTTAATACACATGTTGTCAATGAAAAACTATCTGTTGTTATGGTTGATGTTAAAATGAAAATTATTTATAATAATATAATGACAATGATAAAAATATGAAAGTAAAAATGAATTTTAATACTCATTAAAATCACATAATAACTTAAATGATGAATATTTAAATCAGAGATACCTAAAATATTTTATTGTACATTAAATAAATGAAGAAATGAATTGTCACATTTCAAAAATTAGAAGCTAAAAATAAACTAATAGATAATGAACATACAATGTTTAATCAAAGTGAATAATCTGCATTGAAGAATGAACAATAAAAATAAAACTATTAACATTTAATTATCTACTTTATATTTTAATGACGTTTATTATTTTTATCAAAACAAGTCAAAAGTTATTTTAAATTAAAAGTTAATTGAAAATAAATTGTATTTATTAGTATCTTTTATTTTTTTTAATTATTAAGTCAACTATTAAAATATTCGTTTTTATTTTATATTTTTGTTATTTTATTTATTTTGTTATTTATATTTTATTAATTAATTTAAAATTAAACTATTTTGAAATATCAATTATAAAATTAAATATAAGAATATGTAAAGATAATAAATCAAATGAAAATGAGTAAAAATAATGTCAATAAAATGAAAAATATTATAATAGATAAAATGAATGAAATAGTACTTATGTTAATTCATTTATTGACTGTCATTATGTGGTAATGATAATAATATTATTTTATTCATTATTAGAATTGAATAAATATGATATAATACAAAATGAAAATAACATAAAAATAATATCATAACTATTCAATATAAAGAAATAATTTAAATAATAATGAATCAAGACTGATGAATGATAAAATAAAAGAAATGGTAATAAATAAAAATAAATCAAATAATGATATTATTAACAGTACAATTATTAGGTGATATTTAGAATATAACTTAATAATAAATGATGAAATAAATAAATAAATAGAATTATAAAAATATAATAAAATTAAATAGAAAATAAAGAATTAGTGAATAAGAAATGAAAACAAGAAATAAAATGAATAAAATAGGAAGGTAAGAGAAAAGAAGAAATGATAATAAATATAAAGAAAATGATAATAATTAATTGAAAATATCAATAAAATTTAATGATTAATAAATGAAATTAGTAACCATAAAATGAAACAAATAAACAAATAAAATAGTCTACAAATTTAATGAATAATAAAATAAATACATACAATAATAAAATAAATAAAAAATAATATAATAAAATAAAATAATGAACATTCATTAATAATTCATTAATCATCAAATATAAATTATAATAATGATATTAAAATATTTACTACAACTATATTATCTATAATTAATTTTAATATCAAAGAATTTTGATAAACATAAATATTTTAAATTGTTCATTTCTTTAACAAGTTAAAAAAAAGAAATAAAATTCATAAAAATTTTATTCAGAATTAAGTAATTTTTCCACATATCCTTGATATAAAGGAAGAAGTAATTTACCATCAGAATCAAATACTTTATTAACTTCGATTTCAACGTTGTGTTCTTTTTGATTTTTACACATTGTTAATTTAAAATATGGAGTATAAGGAATCATCGCACTATAAAATATTGCTTTAGGTTTCTTAATTGCAACAGCAAAACCTTTATGTCTAAACCACATAATATAAGTTAAATACCCATCAACAATAATGTAAATAACAATTATTGAAACGATATGCCAATATGATTCAGGCCATGGCTTTGGATACCACCACGCAAGTGCCCCTAAAAGAGAACAAAGAATTGAACAAATAATAATAGTATTTGAATACCAATAATCAATATCATATTTTAACTGAGATTTAAGAATTTCTTCTAATCCCAAATCCAATACTTTCTTTAATTCAACTGGATTATATAATGAAACTTTTGGAACAGCTAACTTGGTTTTTTCCATTTACTTTTATAATTTAAAGTTCAGAACTAAGATCTTTTAAATATGAGTGAAGAACCAAGTATTCAATGTGAAAGTATGCACCATACAGCTCCTAAACCAGGTAAAAAAAACTTTGGTAATTTAGCACGAAGTGCACAAACACAAGGTGTTCAACAAAAACGACTAGGTAGAATTCAAACAAATAGACAATATTTTGACTCAGCTGAATATTCACTACATAAAGTAGCACAAAAGAAAGAAGAAGAGGAAGAAGAAAAAGAGAATAAAGAAAATAAAGAAGAAAAATAAATTATTTGAATTAATTTACTTTTTATAAATTTCTAAGTTTTTAATGACGTAATACCTACGTTAATGTATTTCTTGAATTGAAACGAAAATTGCTTGTGGTATTAAAACAATGTTTTTCTTATGAATTAATTCAACATCAACCCATCCATAAACCTTTGGTACAGTAAAAGTGAGTTGTCCCCTTTTTTTGTTTCCTTCTATTTGACAGATAATAGAAGAGATTTTTATTTGTGTTGTTGCTCCAAGATTTTCTCCTTGGACTGTAACTTGGTTATTAACATAACAAAATTGTGGATAAAAATTGTATTCACTTTTATTTATTTCATTTTTATCGTCTTCTTCTTCTTCTGAAATTACACTATCTGAAGAACTTTCATCCTCTATTGTAAAATTTATTAATCTATCATAGTTCGATCGATATCCACTATCAGTTGTTACTAAAATTTGTTTTGTTCGTTTATTTATTATTTCTATTTCATTAACTTCGTTAAATTTGTATTCTTCACAAGCCTCATTTTCATAAGGATGAATACGATCAACCAATGTATTTATTTGAATTGAGAAAGAACGAATTTCTTCAAGAAATAAGTTTTTCATTCTTTGAAAAATGAACTGAGTTTGATTATCTCCATTGTTTAATGAAATAGGCAAATCTTCAAACTTTTTTGTATAATCATCAAACTTAGTTTTACATTCTTTGACTTTGACAACAAACTCAGGACATATTTTTAGATTTAAACATGAATAATTAGTAAATTCGTCAAATAAGTCCGCACATTCATTCATTATTTCTATTATTCTTTCTTTTTTAAAGAATATATTTTGATAAATTGAAGATATTTCAGAGGTTTCTTGTTCAATTTTTGTTTGATTATCTTTCATTTTGGACAAAATTGAATTCCAATTTTCTCTTCTCTTAAACATCAATTGAATTAAAAGTTCACAACTATTATATTATTAAAAAAACAAAAATAAAGGGCTCAATCCATGCATATAGTCAACATTATTTTTGATAATGATTAGTTATCCCTCTGACATACCTAATTCGTTTCATTGCCCAAAATATTATTTTCTAAAGAAAAAAACTATTCTATTAATTCATTCTATTAAAAATTATGGTTTTTTAATTTTATTAATTAAAATTTATTAAATTAATTATAAAATTTAATTTTTTCTCTTTGAATTAATTTTATTTAATTTCATTCTTTTATATAACACTTATTTTTGAATATATTCATTTTAATTAACATTAAAATATGGAGATATTTTTCACTAATACCCATTTTCATTTCTCAGTTTCAACTTTCTTATATCTATTTGTTATAATAGCTCAAGTCATTAGCATATATAAAAAACTTTTATCTATCTTTTTTCTCAATAAATTTTATTATTGAATCATTGAAAGAATTTTTTATAATCTTACAATTTATCTTTTGAATATATTAGTATTACCTCTTTATAATATATAAGTCAATTTATTAAAAAGAATAAAATAATTATATGATACTTATTGTTTAATCAATTATTTTAATATGTTTCATAGTGATTAATTAATAAAATTCTTCAAAATATACTTAAACCACAAGAAAGAAAATAATACTCTTAAAATATATATTTTAAAAAATTAATAGAAAGGATACATATACATTAAAATATTACTTAGAATTTATTTTTTGTTGCAGCTGAAGTATTTTAAAATATTCAACAACAAGTATATCAATACGAGAATTTAAAAATTTAATTTTCTCTTCTGTTGTCCTATAATGACCTAAAGACAATACTCCTCCTATAACAAAATCATTTAGATATAATTCAGTTACACCAAGTCCATAATTTGAAACGCACATTAATAAAGCTATATCACAAGAAATATCCCATGATAGACAAGTAGATGGAATAACTGGAAGTAATGTTTTACATTCATAAACTAATTTCATTGCATAATTTAAAATAAAATACATTTGAGAACGTGTGATAACTTCTTTTGGACAATTTGGATTAGAAAGAATTTCATTAACAATTATTTGTAATTGGAATGAAGTAATTGGAACAAATTGTGTTTTATCAATTTTCCAATTAGAAACATTACTACCAAATCGTTGAATACAACTTTCAATACAATTTAACCATTCATTAATCTTTTCAATTCTCATTGTTGGAATATACTTTTTAAAAATTTTATGTAATTCATTTTCAACAATTATTTCTTCAGAAGTATCAGAATCATCCATTGGAATAACTTTTAGTTCTTCTAATGGAACAATAGGAATAATAACTGATGTATTATTTTGACTTTTATCAGGTTGTTCTAACAAATTATTTTGTTTTATTTCTTCATTTTGTTTAATAATATTTCCTTCGTGATCAAGTCGACCATACTTTTCAAGAATTCTTTCTTTATTAAATTTTTTTGGACCAACCATTAAATCTTTTAATTTTATTTCATGTTTATTTTGATTTTGTAACTTTGTAACTTTTATAGTTTTTATTTGTTCTAAAGAAGATTTATTGACTTCTTCTTTATTATCTTTATTTTGTTCTTCTATTTGAATTTCATCAGAAGAGGATTTATTTAAAGTATTTATATCTATTTTTTCATTCAATTCTTCAATTGAATAAATTTTTCCTTTCTTTACAAATCCATTAATTAAACTAATCTGATCATTATGTACATCTAAAACAATTTGATGGATTTCATCATGAGATTTAAATGTTAATAAATCATTTATTAAATATGTTTCATCTATTGGTTCTAATTTACCAGTATACCCATATTTAAAATTATGTTTTGTTAATAATTGATAATATATTTGAGTTTTTTCTGAATCAGTTAATTCTTGATCAAGTTCATTCATCATTGTTGTTATTTCATCTAATGATTCACTAATAGTTAATTCAAATACAAATAAATTCTTTTTAGACAACATTAAATATTTGGTTCTAATAATTGATTCAAAAAGTGGAGAATATTCATTACTAAGATTAATTACAATATCAATCATACTTAAATCTAAAAACATTCTACTACATGAATTATCAACACAGACAACACGATTATTTATTTTTAATTTATCTTGTCTATTTCCATTTTTCTTTTTATACTCTTGAATAATATTTTCTTTTTCATTACTTTCAATATCATTTAAAACCATTAATGAACAAATACATTCAACAAGTGGAAAATTAAGTTCCCATTCTATCATATTACAATCCAATTTTTCTGAAATAGTTCTAAGTGTTTTATCATAATCTCCTAATACAGCAATTTTAAACTGAGTATTATTTTGAATGAATTTAATTAAATGAATTATAAATTCAACTTTACATCCTAAATTATTTCCTTTATAAAGTGATGGATCTGTCAAAATTCGTTTCATCATTTCAAGACATAAATCTTTATTAGTTGTTGACTTATTTATTAAACTTTTCATATTATTATACATATTTATTTGTTCTTCTTTCATATGAAGGAAAACATCAATATATTTAATATAATAATTAATTGGTGTATATTCAAGAAAAGTAACTTCACCTAATTTTCTTTTGTCAATTCTTGATCTTAATGCTTCAGATTCTGTAAATTTATCATAAAGAATACAAATTGATTTTTCTTCACAAAAGAAATTAAATTGAAATGCACTTTGTGGATCCATATCACAAAAAAGAATATCAACAAAAACTTTTCTTTTAATTCTTAACATATTAGGTGTTGAAATAATAATACCATTATAAAACCCTCTTTTATCATTTCTATATAATTCTTCTTTTCTAATTTTTTGTAATGGAACAGTTGTAGGTCTATCAAGTAAAAATGTTATATTTATATCTGGAAAGAATCTGTTTATATTTTCTTTATAAAAGGGAATATTACTTTCTTCAGTAACAAAAATAAAAGGTCCAGTAACTCCCATTGTCATTTCTCTATATAACATTTTAAATAATTCAAACTTAAATTGTAATGAATTGTAACACCATGTAATATCTCCTCTTTTTAAACTTCTAATAACTTGTTTTACATATGTTACAATTGGATCATTTTTTGTAAATCCTTTTGGATTTGTTTTAGAATCTCTTATTGAAACAATAGATTTTGTTCTGTCTTCATATCTTTTAAGAAGTAAAGAATATTCAGGACTTATAAAAAATTCACTACTTTCAGAAGATATAAAAATTTCATCATTATAATTCCATTTAACAAAATAACCTATTGATGAATCATCTCTAACTTGTTTATTTATAACTTTCTCTGGCATTAATATATCAGCACTATATTCTTTATTTAGTGCTGGTTGTACAATAATTGAACCAAGTTGATTATTTTTTATAAATTCTTTAAATTTATTATTAGGATCAATTTTAATATTTCCTTCTAATTTACTACGCTCAACCCAAGAACATTCAAGTATAGAATAATCTTTCCATTTAACTAAATAATATTCTCCATTTTCAGGAAGTTCTAAATCTTTATTAATATCAGGGTCATAACATTTAAAACTTCTAAATTTTGAAAATGTTGAATTAGATGAATATTGAGTCAGAATGTCTTCAATTATCATTCTATCCTCATTGGAATCTCCCATCCTTAAATGTTTTCTATCTCTTTTATTTTTCAGTTTATTTCAAGTAAATATTTTAGTATTTATCAAAATTAAACAATTTCATTGAAAAAATCAAAATTCTAAACTCTTTCAAATAAAACTAAGAATATAAAATTATCTCTTCAATGAACAAGACAGCTGGATTATTACAATGGTGCCAAAGATCTACTAGTGGTTATGAAGGTGTTGATGTAAAAAATTTTACAACATCATGGAAAGATGGAAAAGCTTTCTGTGCACTTGTCCATCACTTTAAACCAGAACTTATTAATTTTGAAAAATGTAAAACACAAACCCAGCAAGAAAATTTAGAAATGGCTTTTGCTGCTGCTGAAAAAGCTGGTGCTCCAAGAATGATGGACGTTGAAGATTTTGATATGGATGTCCCAGATAAACTGAGTGTTATTACATGTATTGGTGTATTACAACAATACTTAGATACTACTCCATCTATAGAACAACCACATCCTGTAAAAGAACAAAAAGAAAAAACACAGTACACTCTCTATTCATCTGCTACTCATTCTCCTCCTGTTAAATCAAAATCACCATCTATTCCAAAAGAAATTCAAAACCATTCTGTCCCTCAAAGAAGATCAACAGTTGCATCTGTCTCTGATGCTGCAAAAAAAGCACAAATCACTCTTTGTTCTTCTTGTGGAAAACCTATCATTGGTAGTGTTGCATTAGAGGTTAAAGGAAAAAAATATCATAAACAATGTTTCTTCTGTTCTAGATGCAAAAATGTATTAGACGAAAAGTCTTTTGTATCTATTGACGATGCAAATTATTGTCTTGTTTGTGGTAAACAAGTCTTTTTTGAAAACAAAAAGAAAAAAGAAGAAGAAAAAATGAGTAATGAACATCCTTCGAATTCAACTCATGACCAACCACAATCAACTCCAAATATTAATCGTCCAATCTCATTATCTACTAGTGATTTAGAAGTTAAAAAAGAAAAGAAACTTATTCAGTCTTCTGGTAATTGGAGGCAGAAGAATGAAGAGGCAAAGAAATTACAACAAGAGAAGGAAGAAAAAGAAAGAAAAATAAAAGAAGAAAAAATTAAAAAAATGATGGCATTAAGAAAATCAGCTCAATCTCAAAGTCCTGATATTTCTGTTCTCAACCAATCATCTTCTGATCATTCTACTTCACCTGTTCCTGAACCTCAAACAACATCTAATAATCTCACTACTCCATCAATAAAAATTCAAAATGGATTTAATGAAGAAGATATAGTAAAGAGTAATGCCAATGCACCAAAAATTGGACTAAGATCAAGTATTGGAAAAACAACAATTCTTGACCGTAAATCCTTTGAAAATCAAAATTCATACAGAAATTCTCTCACTAAACCATCAAATGATAATTCACCATCACCGTCATCATCTCCTAATTTCATTGACCCAAATGACGATGAATGGGTTTCGGGAAATACAATCAAAAGAAGATCAGAACCACCACACCCTATTATTTCAGATGCTGAAGATGAAGACATAGTACCTCGTTCACCTACTGTTAAAATTGAATTACCAAAACCAATATTAGCAACATGGCAATTCTATGCTGTCTTATTTACAATTATTGGAGTGATGACAATTGCATTTTATGCTTTCTTTAAGTAAATGGTGCAACACTAAATTTTCTATTTTTTCCTTCTGAACAGAAAAATACAATAAGAAAATTCTTTTACAAAACAAACAAATAAGAATAAATATGAAATGATTAAAATAAACTAAAAAGAACTTATTTTTTGAAGAACTTTAAAAAAAATAGTAAACTTATAATAAAAATATAGTAACAACAGAAGAATCTCACAACATTTATTTCCACTCTTCATGGAGGAAAAACCCAATGAATTAGATAGTCAGAAAATAATATCAATTTGTCTTATTGGGTCAGAAAGAGTTGGAAAAACAACATTACTTAAAATATGGAGTGTTAGTTCTTTTTTGATTTTTAATTTAAATATAAATTATTAACATTTTAGAATGAAGAATTTGAATCTATTTATTTAAAAACAGATGAAATAACTTCTAAAACTTTAAAAGTAAGTCATAATAATACTACTCTTGAAGTTACTATTGTTTGTTTTATTTTTTTATTAAATTATATTTATGAAGATTAAAAATAATGTAATAGTGGGATTGTTCTGGAGATGAATTCAAAAATACAAGAGGAACTGTTGATTCTTATGTTAGTAATGGTCCAATTCATGTATTTGTTATATCACAATCTGATAAAGGAAGTGTTGTTTTTTTGAAAGGATTTATTAACAGTATATTTTATAGAAAATCGAACCCTAAACGTAAATACATAATTGTTACTCATTGTGATGAAGAAGATTGTACAGGTGGACTTATTGATGAAATTACACAAACATTACATTCTAAAAAATATAATGTGAATTGTGAAGAAATTGAAAAAGTAAAAAATATTCTTAATGAAATTGTTATTGAATATGCAAATGAATTTTTACCTAAACCAGAACTAGACCATATACAGACTCCATCAAAAAAGTCATGTTGTTTTTTATTTTAGATTAATGACAACATGATCATTAGTTTGATTAATTTGTTGTTATGTTTACTCTTTATTCTCTTTTATTTTTCTTTTTTCTATTAACCTTTTTCTATTTATTTAATTTATTTAATATATCTTGAAACGTAACATTATCTCTTGTTAATAGTAAAGATTAATTTTTATTTCATTAGAATGTTCTCATTTAAATGTTCAATAAAATAAATTTAAAATATTAAATAGTATTAGAATGTATTTTTTTTTAAAATAACTTTAAAAAACTTTTGTTAGAGAAATATTATAAAATAGAAAATATCCCATCAATTAAAAATATTTTACTATTATTTAAAAAAAAATTATATTAAATTAAAAATCTAGTAATAGATAACATACAAGAATTAATTTAAATCAAAGGTACCTTCTGTTATCATTTTTCTATCATTTACAATTTCTTCTAACTGTTTGACCTTTTCTTCTTTAATTTGAATTTCTTCTTTTAATTGATCATTATAGCTTTCAACAAGTTTAATTTTTTCATCTCTGTTTATAAGTAAATTTGTTAGTCTTGTATTTTCTTCTTTAATAGATCTAAATTCTCTACTTTCTTCTTGATATCTTTTTAATACTGAATTCATTTTTGCCAATTCTTTCTTACTTTGATTTTCATTTTCGCTAGCTGTTTTTATTCGTTTTCTTTCAAATTCTAATTTACCTTCTAAATCCTTATAGTGTTGATCTTTTGTATTTAATATATTACTATAATTCATAACTTCCTTTTTTAAATTAGCTATTTCTTCCTCTTTCATTTTTAATTGTTCTCTTAATTGTTCAATAACCTTTTGAAGAGAGTCTTCACTTGGTGATGTATTTCTTTTTATCCTATAATCTCTCTGTAAATAATTATTAGAAGTTAAATTATTTGTTGTTGGAGTAGCAACTTCAACAAACCCAGAAAATGGTGTTTGAAATGTAGGAGGGGAAAAAATTTGGTTGTGCATTGTTGTTGGTTTAGATATTGTTTTTTCGATTGAACTATTTACTTGTTTTTGAGGAGTACATGTACCACTCTTTTCTGTTGTACTAGTAATGTTTTTCTGATTCTTTGTCCCTGTACTAAATTTATGTTTTAAAGGGTCATAGCGAGCAGGACTTCCTATCAAGTTGTAATGACCCTTTTTTTTAAAGTCATGAAGAACTAAAAGCTCTTGTCTAGACACTTTCTCATAAGTGATAGAACCAACTTCAATAAGATCATGAATACTTAAGTTTACACTTTTTCTGTCTGGGTAGTTGGAGCAATCTAAATAACAAGAACAAAGGGTTGTTCCATCACTGACTTCAGCAAAAAGATATTTTGTTCCTTCTTCAAAATCAGAACGAATCCCGACGAGTTGGAGTTTAGTTACATCATTTCTTATTTTATAACGTTGTAGAAATAGGGATGATGTTTGTTGTTAAATAATTAATACCCTTAACAGGAGGTATTGACATGAATTAATAATTCTTTGATCCATTTAAATTCAATATTTTCATTTTTTCTTCATTACTTTTGGAAAACCCTTAAGGGTTTCTATCTTTTCCGAAAAAAAAAAAGAATTAATATTCATACAATTGAAT